CTGCATCTACTTGTTGCTACAAAAGTATCTTACTGTTCCGTAAAAGTTCAAAAAATATCCACTGGACTTGTTTTCCAAGATTTGAAGACTGTTATCTTACTGTTTTTGTGTGCAGAAATAAATGTATTGCTGCCGTTTTCAGTGAACGTGCGAAATATGCCAAATGCAAAATATATGCAGTTAATCAGTGCATGCAGAAATAAATCAACGCTGCAGAATGCTGTTTGCTTTGTGCAGACTGATTATCAGCTGATCAGCTGTTTGAAATCATTCCAATGACACATCTGGAAAATCAGTTCGCATAGAATAGAATAGAATAGAATAGAATAGAATAGAATAGAATAGAAAATTCCTTTATTGTCCCATAATGGTGAAATTCTGGTGTTTAAAGCGGCAAAAAGTTTATAGAATAAAATGGTCACACAAATGTAGACATTAGAAAAATGTATAAGAATGACCTAATAGTGAAGAATTAAAAGATAAACAATAAAATATTGTAAAAGTGTTTTAACAATATAAAAACTGTGAACCCGGAGAATAACCAATATGCAGCTGTGGACATTTTTACAGTAATGGATATTTGAAAATAGCAGCAACATCGGGGATTTAATTTCATATAAAATTTTTTGACTATTTGAGCCGTTGAAATGAGTAAATTTATCCAGAGCTATTAAGGTCATAGGGAAATCATATTTAAATGTCAAAACATTCTGGCTTAAACATGTATATAAATGTACTCTTGATCAGAGTATATTGTCCCAAAAGATATTATATATTATCATTTGTCTCTCTTATTATCTGTGGGTTTTTTTGTTATCCTCTGCAGGCCAGTTAGTTCTACGTCAGCCTGAACACCTAAATTCAGCCAATCATATATCAACGTTCATCTGTCAATCACATTTTTTTGGTCATAGCATCTTGATTCATGTGTGGTGTAATATTTAGCCATGAAAGTGGTTCTCCACTGCTAAATGAGGCCTTTCTCATGAGCTGTGGGGGTGTTTGGCTTATAAACACAGGAAAAGGACTCACAGTGTCTCCTATCTTCAGGCCTGAACACTTCCTGAAGCCTGGCAGCGGTTTCTGCTCCTGGCATGTGGCAGTGAAGGACAGGCTGATGTCCTCAGGATGGTCCAACACCGTCAGTTCCACATTGGAGCGAATGTTCTGTGGACAAACGGATACAGAAGATGACTTTCAGCTGAAATGTCAACGTTTCTTCCACCCTCATTGTTTATGGTTGTGCGTCTCTGGTTGCATAACAGAGCAGAAAGAATGAGACATGAGGGACGAGTTTCTCTGGTTCGATACATTTTTCTCTCTCCATTTCAACACAGCTATGAGCGGCACGCGAGGAAGCAGGCTGCATGCTGCAGTCAGCTGCATGTAAGATTCCCACGCCTGTGGAGGAGCCGTGCAGAAGCGTCTCTGACCCTGAACAGGTCCAGCTGAGACGGCGGCACAAAGCTGCTGCAGCCAGTCACCCTCAGGCTGGATGATACAACATGGCAGCTGGAATGTTAATGCCTTTGTGTCAAAGATCACGCTCACAGCGGACGGCTCCGC